GCGACGCATCTGTTTGGGGTTTCGCACATGCGCAGTAGCGCCACCCCAACGTCCTAGGTACGCAAGCCGCTTGAGTACCCAGCACTAAAACTCCCTATTTTTCTCACGATTAACTCTCTCCACTGCCAGCAACGTTCGAGTGCACATCGAGTGAACACTCTTTCGGCTCATTTATCTGCGATGGAGAGGCTGGCGGATAGCGAAGCTCTTTCGCCCGCCGAAACATGCACCGAAGTGATTTTGCCTATCTCTGCTGTCGCCGGCGTTGCAATGGTGCCATGAAAACGAATAAATAAAAAACAAACAAACGGAGAAACAAAAGAACAATTGAACAAGAAAAAAGCTGATTTTTATAATATACGCGCAGTCTTACGTTTTTCTAATGATGTAATGGACTAACTGTTCACGGGAGAGTTACTGTTTATCGATGATCTTCCCTTATGAAGGTTCGCTCACTTATCAACGTGCATTCCATGGATACGGCGTCAATATTTAGGAATATTCTAGTGTCTGTGGGGGGGGGGGCGGTGTAGAGTAAATAAAAGACGCACCAAATCAATCAACTTTGCCTCATTTATTTCGTCATTTTGCTGGGCCATCAAAGTTTGCTCTTATAGATCCACGATACGTTTAATAGCGCGCAATGTTTCTTTTTCGTGGAAGAAATGACTCACATGAATCTTCAAACGCTTTAAATTGCAAATAATTACTTAACCAAGTGTCTTTTTTGACGCGAAAGGCAGAATAAATCTGTTAAGCATGTAAAACTTGCACGTAAAGCATGTAAAACCCCTTTCTTGTCAGATAGTGCTCAATATGTACATGCCAATGGCTGCTAATGGGGAATGAGACAGGAGAATTCGGCTGCTGGTTAACGCGCACACTGCGATTTTTTTTTATTTTTCAACAACACACAAGAGAAATCTCCCACCTGCATCACCTTGCCGGTCAAAGCGTAAGACATGTTGCGTACTAGGACGAGGGACGAACGGGTGCCGTTTAAGGAGCTTCGCTCCTAAAACACCCTTATGCTTAGATACAACACTCATTGGCGCATAATCACGTGATTTCGAGACGCAAGAAACCATATTTACATCGTTAGGCGAAGGTGTTCATGGGTTACTCCTAAAGAAAATAGGAGGGTTTACTCTCCTCTAGGGTTATTTGTATTGGAAGAATCCACGTATCTACGGGCACTGCTTTCGCTGGTGTGCCAAGATCCGCGCTTTCTTGGTTTATCAAGGCTCGCAAAATATATCGTATGTGCTCATCCTAGAATACCACCACCACTGTTCTGTCTGTCGCGTGTACTTACTCATTCAATACGTTATTCACTTTCATGTTTCTCTCGCAACAAATTTGGAGCTTCATTTCACCAAAATTATTGCTCATTAAACACGTTATTCTGTTTCGTGTTTTTCTCGCAATAAAGTTGGAGCTTCATTTCACCAAAATTATCGAGGCTAAGTACGGCTGAAGTTATCTGCGGGAATTCTCATTGCGGTCACACTCTATCTTCGTGCAGAATCGTAACAACGGTGCTGTCGCACGCGTAACTACCAGTTTAGTTAGCCATCTAATAAATTAATTTTCCATGCGGCTCATTGATTACCTGTACTTGAACATGATCAACGAGACCAGTCATCGCCACATCGAGCTGAAGATTGCTCAATTATTAGTTGGGCCACATCGCTGACTGCGCCATCGAAAATGTTCATTGGACTTCCTGCCGTTTGTGTTGAAATTGTTGTTATGAGAGGTGCCCTCATGTGAAGCGTTTTTGCTTCTGGCGTGGCGGTAGATCAATTTAGCATTTCACGCAAATCAGAGTATACGACTTCACAATCCCTGGTGACTGTTTAGAAAAAAAAATGTGTACATGATCCGAGTAAACGGAAATATACCAAAATACCGAAATTGTGGTGTGTGGCAGTGCAATTTTGTTTATTTTACGAATAGGTGAAGTTTGTGCTTATGACAGTCACATAGATTCATCTAAAGTCATTCGTTGGAGAAAGCTCAATTCTTCCAAATCATTTATATTATTCGCATATGTAGGCGCATCATTCACGGCAAAGCGCAATGTATGTAGTGAATTAGAAAAGATTTAATTTAATTTGTGATATTCTGGCACACATATATTCTCATTCCAGAGTTTATGTTATAGCGCGTTTACGCTACTTTCCATAGCACCAATTTATTGGTGTACGCAACGAAAACATCAATTTACACAGTGATGATCTGCTGTTCGGGAAAGAGCCTGCCTATTCTAAGCTAAATTATGTAAACTTTTTACAGCGTCGATAACTTTGACTAGTCACGAAACCTTTCCCTTTGTTTCTTGAAATATTTGCATCACACAGTTCAAGAGTAACCACAAAGGTATCGCTAAAGAGCTGGTACGTGGCGGACGCAGAAAAAGGAGACAAGCGGTGGCGAAGGCGAGTCCTTACCGTGACGTCACATCTCTGCGACCACAGCGACACCAGTGTTCATTTTCGGGGCTAATTGAAACGCATACCCATTGTTTTTATTGCCTGTAACAAACGAAGTGTTGCACTGCTGTAGGCACGTGCTAGATGGTCCGATTACCGGTATGGAGGAAGGAAAAAAAAAGCTAGGATGGAGCATTGGCCAGCGCAACAGAAAGAAATGAGGAAAAAAAGGAGGGCTCTGCGTCAGACACATTCGCACTCTTAAACCATTTTCTCATTCGGGAGAGATCCACAGAATTTTTAATGCCAGGCATTCCTTAGCGAAGTTCGGTGACTTTGACCATATCTATCTATCTATCTATCTATCTATCTATCTATCTATCTATCTATCTATCTATCTATCTATCTATCTATCTATCTATCTATCTATCTATCTATCTATCTATCTATCTATCTATCTATCTATCTATCTATCTATCTATCTATCTATCTATCTATCTATCTATCTATCTATCTATCTATCTATCTATCTATCTATCTATCTATCTATCTATCTATCTATCTATCTATCTATCTATCTATCTATCTATCTATCTATCTATCTATCTATCTATCTATCTATCTATCTATCTATCTATCTATCTATCTATCTATCTATCTATCTATCTATCTATCTATCTATCTATCTATCTATCTATCTATCTATCTATCTATCTATCTATCTATCTATCTATCTATCTATCTATCTATCTATCTATCTATCTAGCCGCCTACGATTTTAGCTCTCTCGGCCGCTTCAATGACGGTATCTATAGCGAAATTGGTAGGGCATAAATTGACTTTATGACGAGTATAAGTGACTAGTCGTAACATTAAAATAATGACTTTTATCTCACGAACGTCGTGATTTACATGTCATGGTCTTGCTACTCTTGCTGTAGTTTAGTTCACATGGCAAATGCAAATCTGGTATGGTATGACATGACAGCTAGGCGAACATAAGGGACGGGCCCTAAAGTGCAAAGCATGGTATACATGTCATGTAAGTCATGACTACACGTCATACGCTCATGGTGCTCTCACTGTCGTTTCGCTGGCTTCACATATACCAACATAGGCTATATGTGAGGTGAACGGATGACGAAGGTATGTGATTTGTAGAAACATGATAATCATGAGATGCGTGTCGTGTGAGAACATGACTACATGCCACGATTATGATGTGCTCGCGGCCGTTTCGCTGACTTCCGATATACCGAATTTAGTATAACGTAATGCGAACAGACGACTGAACACAAATGCCAGGCGCAAACATGATAACGATGACATAGAAGTCATGTACGGCCTAATTTAAGTGGCTATGGCTGCTGGTGCTGGTATATTAAACGTTAGTGGTGCCGTTGTTAGGCGACAATAAACAACACACTTGCATCTCATCTAAATACCTAAGTGCGCATAACATTTGTGCCCCTGTTTCATGTTTGCTATATTCATGCGACTGGTGACGTTGTGGTGATTTTAAAGTGACCTATTTATCTTTCTCATTCGTGCTTCCCATGTAAAGAATTCCCACTGTACGTGGGATCTGCCAATTTTTTCAACATACTCTCACTTACTATTACTTTCTCACTTACTCAATCATTAGCTAGTGCGTCGACAAATGGTTAGTTGGAAGTGCAGTGAGAAAGCTTGCCACGAGCTCATATCTATCCTTGCAAGGGCAATGAATTCATTTGTACGCCAAAGCAATACATGTAACCAAATGCACGTACTCGAGGAGGGGCACTTGTAAAATGAACTTACAAGTTCATATGCGCATACTCGCCGTAATCGAAAAGCCATTCGACGTTTGTTGCTCGTTGATCACTGTAAGTATATAACAAAACTCATTACTTATATTCCACGATGAAATACACCCAATCATTAACTTGTCACGCCGAGAGTGGAACTCAACCTCCCCAAAACAATGTGCCTTTGAGATGAGACTGACAAAGATATTTGTCTTTTATTGTACTTTCACCAAACATTGGCACGTACTTGTGCTAGTTACTTAAGCTCACTTTCATTTGAGAAACTACTCTTCCTATCAGTGCGATTATTAACTCGAAACGATGGTGCACACGCATTGCAGTAAAAATCAGAAAAATGTTGTCGTAGTCATCTCCTCACTGCGTAATTCTGTGAGCAAGACTGCAACTATTCTTTTTTACTTTGAAGCATCTGGTTGCTCAATTTTACGGATGTACTTGACTACGCGAGTGTTTACACGTTATCAAACAGGTTCTTGGGTGCCGTCGTCATCCCGTCTAGATTGGAGTAAGTATGCGTAATACCACCAAGCTCCTACATAAAAAAGAACTGCCGAGGCCGTGTCAACAGCATACGTCGTACTTTGTGCTCCTTTGCCACGATCCAGAAAGGAGACACCCTCAATCCATGCTCTGTTTTGCGATCCAATCCTCCACTCCCTCTCGTCTCGGTCGCTCGGCCACCAAGGAAACTTTTCACTGATGGAAGAGTGTATATAAACAGAAAAGAGTTCAAAAACTTCCATAGACGAGACTGTTATTCAGAATCCTGCATGCGTGCAACCGCTTCAGCGCGGATGTCCTTCCAGAGGTCCATGAAGGAGGACTCCTTCTCCACTTCCTGGATACGATTCTCCATCTTCCTAAGTTGTTCAGGAGTGAAGTAATCCCTCCAGCTTCCGACTTTTCCAGTTCTCACGTACTCGTAGTTCGTCACTTGTGCAACCTGATCTTCGGGGCTGAGGACTTTCCTCCGTGAGATCACGTCCTTCCACTCTGGGTTACCCTTACCTGTCAAGTCGAGGACCATCACGTTGCGCATGCTATCGATGTGTGATCGCTCCAGGATCTTCTGGAGGGAGGCTTCGTCCTTCTCTAGAGCAAGCCTATACTTCTCCCCCAAGAAATATGCCAGCCTCAGTGTCACTTCTCGGGTGTTCTTCTTGAGCTCCTCGTATGTAACGAAGAGCACGTTCGGTTCTTCCCTGAGTGCGTAGCCTGCTGCTACGTGTTCGAAAAAGTCGCCGTATCCGAAATTGCCACTTACGAACGTGTCGAGGTAATCGTCGAACGCCCCGTTTCTGAACTGGAATATGGTCGTGTTGATCGCCATGTTGTACAAAGAGACGCAGACGTCCCATGGATTTCGGGCGATGTAGACGTACTTGGCTTCTTCTGTCATCATATGCTTGTCCAATGGTAAATGCGTAACGAATGTTCTCAAAGGCAGGGACGAGCTGAAGCCCTCGATATCCATGTACTCGAGGAAGCGCATATTTTTTGCGAACTCTTGATAAGTGTTGATTGTCTGTCCCTGTTTCAAGATCAAGTGCGTGATGTACATCAGCCAGTGCGTTCCGCTCTTCGGAAATGTTACTTGCACCAGGTCTCCTCCTTTCGCCCTGAAGTTAAGCCTTTCCCGCAGTCTGTCGGGATTCAGGCCCATGCATCTGGGAACTCCGTCGATTAATTGGTAGGCTGGCCTCCTCCTCTGCATTATCGCCAGGTGCTCCTGCAAAGCTACACAACAACGTTATGCATATTTTCTAAGTTTTTACTACTTACGGTTGATTAGGTTCTTTTTAGCGCGGTTTTACTTCTCTAAGTGACACTGAATCTATTCATCAATGCGATCTCAGCTCATGAAGCCCTGTTTTTTTATTATCTCGTTGTCGAAGCACTACTTATTGAGGAAAATGAAGGTTGCAGGGGCCATAAAGTGAACATTTTCCTAAATTTCTGGCACCTGTGCGCTAGTGTGACGTCACATATTTTGAAGTTATATTTTGATTTGGGATACCGCGGTAATTTACCGAATTAACAAATACCTTGGGTTGGATAGCATATAACGGAGCAGGCTGTAAGAATGGTGTCATTGATTGTGGGCAAATGACGTTGAAGGTACTCCTGCGAACGATGGTTTAGCGTCATTCTATATGGAAGTTTGATTGATTAAAAAAATAACTTCATATGAAATCGTGATTGTGAGCAGTTATTTATGATCTGGATGTTTTAGTTTAGTCGGCATCAACATTGAAAACACTGACAAAAAGTCAAACTCACAACCGACCACAGCAATCGCATGAACTCTGAAATAACTTACCGTAACTGCAAAATGAATTCCCTATAAATTAATCGTCCCACAATTTTCGGAGAGTTTATGCAGAAACTAAATAAGGTTTTGTCCGCGGCGATATCATACGATCACAGCATACGACAACTGACAACATACTTATCATAAAAACAGCGCCAATAACGAGAAACAAGAAAAAAAGAAGGTTACCAACTCGCCCAAGCAACCACGTTACATAGCGACAACATACGGCAGCCCGGCTCCTCACAACAATACGAATAAAGAGTTATAGCAAAAAAGAGTCGTGTGGCATCAGCATTACTGAAATTGTGAAAGAAATAGAGGCTTGGAAAATCCTTGCACAAGTGGTTGTGCAAGGTTTTCAGTTCCTGTCTTCAATGCAGCAGCTCCGATCTACTATCGAAGTGGGCAAGACCACTTGTCCAAAAGTTGGCTCCACAGATACTGCCTGCATGAGAATATTTCATCGTTTGCACCTCGCTCAGAAGCACTATTGGGAAAATAAAGGCTTAATCTGAATAAAGTGAAGTAAGAAGAAGCAATCTGTAGTACGAGACACAACCGATGGAGGAAGGGTACGGGACGCGGTGGAGTAAAAAAGGCAAGATTTAACCTTTAATTTGAATCGTTTAAACTTATATGAGGTTTAGATTTATGATTTGCGAAAACAAAAAATTTGATCGGGGAACTAAACACCAAAAGATAGTCATGAAAGGGTCGCGAAAATTGTGTTACTTAGGAACTGAAGGTGTAAGGGGAAGTGATGAGATTAGGTGAAGCTATGGGCTTGTCTTTAGGTCTTGGAAATGGACAGGTATGAAAATATTCGTACTGTAACGTAAAGTAAAACTAGAAATACATTCAAAATAAAGGTGGTAAAGAATTAGTTGAACAGGGAATGTCAGAGGAGTGAAGGACCACTGGCATGCGTGACGCCTGCGAACCGATTTTATCTATGACCTCGGTGATACGTAGCAAAAAGGTGTCATGGCTTTCGAAATCCTTATCATTGTTCCATTGGCGAACGCCTCTTTTATACTGTTCATGCTGTTGTCACATTTGGATTTCATGACCGCCTTACTGAAGGACAAAACGCAATGCGATGAACTAACTACAACTGACGTTCATTGTTCACTGCACAGCACTGTTTGATAGGGCTTCTGAGATCAATACGACAACACCTCTTTCCTTGGATCCATGCATGTGTCTTGAGCGACAGCACAGTTCTTAGCGCGCTCATCTCTCTGGTGTGCGTGGCTTCAACGGCATGTGCTGAAACCACTATGGAGGCCGCTCTAGAGATAATACCTTCCAAGTTTTTTGTGAGGAAGTAATATGTGATGGCCATAGATGAAATAAGCACATATGTGATGTAGAAATGAATATCTGAAACTGATAGTGCAGTGAACTACTGGGAAGTGGCACATTGTCTTAACTTCGCTAGACTGCCTGGAAACAGGGGGCGATATATCAAAACTTTCTAAAACAATAGCTCTTTCTTATTGGCCATCTGCCTTGGCTAATGATGCAAGGCATCAGGATTTCCTGACATTTTTGCTTATGAACAGCTGTAGCGTTAGCACCTTTTTTGAATGCTGGCCCAGTACGCCAAAGTTTATTGTTAGCAACAACAAAACCAACCGACCCCGCGAAACTACAAGGTGACCACTTTAACATTTCGAGCATCAATTTAGAACATGAGTAAGATAGCTCAAGAAAATCAGCAAAGAAACAGCCACATTTGGCAACAATACGAATATACTAAATGCAATTTCTCGCAATAATAGAGCCATGCTCTACTGACATCTGACGTCCAAGATTGCAATGGCTGCTTACCTGTTCTTCGGTTGCCAGAACAAGTTAACTGGCCTTTAGTTGATTTTCCGATTGTTGACCAGAACTTTGATGTTGCACATGATGAGGGGGATGGTTTGTTTCCGCTTTATTTTCACATGTGGTGTTAGCAATGTCAACCATGGGCCTCCAAGCAGGGACGCTGATTGTTACCTCGCAGACTCACTCACAAATATTTTGGCCGGTTGAATTTGACAGCAGCAGCGGCCATGAACTTTCGCTCTATAGTGCGACATAAAGGAATGAAGCTGAATATATCCATCACTTTCGAGACGCGATTTATCTGGCCGTTTCTTGCTTTAATGGTGGCTTTTTGTTGATAGAAGAAATGATTGTCACATCAAGGGCACGCTGAGCGCCCGCTAAGCGAATAAACTCGGGTACTGTGACAGACGACACAGTTTGGAAAATAGCAGCCAATGTTATTTCCTGTGCGCAGAACATTGTGCGCTTTGCTATATATTGTAGAGGTTATATTTCATACAGAATACAGCTTTCTTTATTGCCCTCAGGCTGGAGAACTTTACGACAAGCTGCGAATATTTTGCTGTCACTGTAAGTTATATTAAATTGACAAAAAAGAATGTTGGTAACTGATGTCCTACTTATCCAGCTGCCGAACGTTTTTCATATTACAAAAATTTGGAAAGAAGGAAATCTTTCACCAGCAATTTTAGAAAAAAATTCACCAAAAATCACGATACTGCGTGATGCGAATTCTCAGCGAAGCTTCATGTTGAAATTGCCAATTGCGTTTGAAGTTCTAGCTATGCGCAGTTGTCAAAGAATATGACATTCTTTACATAATAGCGTGGAAACTGCCCGTGCTCGAGTGCTACAGGACACTGTGCATTGTAGGCGTCACGAATCATGCGAAACACCGACAGCCCCGTAACTACAAGCGAACAAGGCAAGTCAACCACAGCGTACAGCGGTGAGCACTGTTAGGGTGAACACGGCTCAGCGTGGCAGCGCTCTGTGGAGCACCAGTACAGCCAGTGCGGCCGCGCATAGAATCCGAGTGGCGCAGGCGCACACGAGCGCGCCGCTCTTGCTTTACTACAGACAAGCGAGACTGGCACTTTGCTACTATAGTGAGGTAGATCTATATATACTAGATCTATAGTGAACACTATCTATAGCGAACTAGATCTATATACACTAGATCTATAGCGAACTAGATCTATAGTGAACTAGAACTATACTGAACTATAGTGAACTAGCTCTAGTTGACTATATTGCTACTACGGGAGGGCGCGGTCAAGCGTCGTAGCCGGTGACGTAAAGCAGCTCCCGTGTCTGCGTGTGCGCATGCGTCGTTACGCTTTGATGCGCGCCCGCGCGGCCACGCGCTCGCGTGTTCATCCGAACAGCGCTCACCGCTGTTCGTGCCAGCCCTGCATGCGCACGAGCTCCGACTGAGCGAGCGTGAAGCAGCAAGAAAGCGAAGTTAGAGGCCAGCATGGTTGGTGGTAGCGACAGGCTCCGCGTTCGCTCTCTTTCGTCCTCGTTCGCGCTATCGGTTAAGCCAACGACGGCGAAGCCACCCAAAGAATTAACCATAACCTATATAAGAGCTGCAGCACACTCAAATATATTTCGGCAAACAGGAAGCAAACGTGAATTCTGCGTAGCAGTCTGCGAATAACGCTACTTATGATGACTTTCGAAAACTAACGCCAAGAATGACATGAAATTCCAAACAGGGGCTGGGCAACTGCCACTTGTCGAGGCTGCAACTTGTTGGTTTTCAAATATATTGACTTTGAGCCACGTCTTTGCTTATGAGGCTTCGAGCCAAGTTAAGGGGCATCGACTTCTTTGTGTAATTTTGATGTTTGGCATATCGTGGGCTTATTAGGCACGTTGGCTACAGCTCAGTGTCCAGTGTAACGTCGGCAGCGAGTTACAGCTCATACCATGACGTAATCTTTATTGTCCATCGCTAACATTGGCTCGCATTCCACCACAACGTGGTGCCAATATTCCTGCGGGCATGAACCACGTTAGTGCTTTGCTGCAGAAGTAGACGTACCATGGCAACCGCTATAAGGGTTTCCATCGGGCGAACAGTATCACTTTTAATTGCGCTCGAAGTGTTCTCGCGAGTTGTGGCGCGTTCCAGTGGTCGGGAAGGGGCGAGGGCGTTGTGTTTCATTGGTCTTGGAGGAGCACTTTTTCGGCGCCGAGGGCAGCCAAGAGTAGCCCTTGGTGTTTCGTCGCCAGTGGCGGAGTAATTAGAGCGCAGAGAAAGTCACTTCTGGTTTTATGCCCGGGCAGGCGGTGACGAAATGGCTGAAGGTAGCAGTGACGCTTGCCTAGTGCTGACGTCGGTAAAGTTCAGACACATGACGCTTGGCATCATGCGCGTCCGCTATGAGCTCTGTTTTCAGAGCAGCGTTACTGTTCTTTTCGGGAGACGGTAGCACACGTCGCCACGGCCCCCGTGTTCTGGTCTGGCTGCTCGTTGCCCTTGCTCCTGCTCGCCCAATGGAAAGCGCTATTAGCCAAGGTACAATGCGCAACGTCCAATCATCATTGTGGGCACGGGCAGTGCTATCAAACTACAGTGCGGCGCGCCATTCCATGGTGATGTCTGGGGGGCATGCACTATGCAATTTATAGTGTTTGCTCTGCTCGAGTTGTCTTTGACGTCGATAGTAAATAGTGCTACGCGCTATTTTTAACTGCTCGGTTTTCACTCAGGAAAACTGCTAGCATCGCTGGGCGCTAGCGGCACCGTGACGTTTGGACAGCGTCGCGATACATACAGCCGAATGATACAGTCGACCAAGCCCTATACGTGGCCATAACGCTACATGAAATTAAGGATAAACCCCTGTGGATCTGCGTTGATTATCGTCGTTGGAGCTAATGCACAACGAAGAACATGTATACCGTCTCCCACGGATAGAAAAGACATTGGGGTGGCTGTGCAAGGCAAATCAATTCTCGTCGGTGGATTCGAAGACAGGCTGCTGTCAAATCGCCGTCGACGAGAGGGATTGAGAGTGACGGCTTGTTCGAGCGGACATTCATGCCATTTGGATTCTGCTCAGCACCTAAGCCAATGGGTGCGTTAACTTGAGCAGCTCGAGCGCGCTCTAGATGGCGGAGTGCACTTGTGTAAACTTGACGAACCTAACGGTTAAAAAGCGACTTCAGGTGCGTAATAACGGAGCGTACTCTCCGCGCTCCTACTTTGAGACGGTGCACGAGAGCGTGCGCCTCTTGTGGCTTACAGAAAAACCACAATAACGTGCTTCCGGCTTTTTTCCCCACTCGTTTCTACTGCCGCAAAACGCCACAGCGCCGCCGACGCACTGTCGGGCCCCCAAAGGCAGTCGACGGAAATCGCGGTTAAGCTCAGATGCACTCCGCTGCAGATGTCGCACCCGAGCGCACTCGGGTGTGCATCTTCAGAGTTTGGAGTGCGGTAACTTAACGAGCCCAATGCAATGCGCCATAGACACAGTACTGGTAGTCCTGAAGCAGCAGCCTTGCATCGTCCTCTTAGATGGCGTCGCCATTTCTTCAGCAAACATTCACTAGCAATATTAGGAATAATAATTTTAGGCCTAATATTGGACGGCCATTACCTTGAATAATGATTTCATTATTATGAAGCGGACTGCCAACAGGCCAACCAAAAAGTACGTTGAGGTGAGCACAACCCCAATAACTAATTTTACACAACAGTTGATATAATACCGGTTCATCACGATACGCGTGCGTCGATTATGAATCAGTATCGCGATGCTCAAAAAGGTAAGTGTTTCCAACGCTTTGCTAAGCCGACACGGTGGCACTGGCCCGTTGCTTTGCGTTCTACACTTCATCACCTCCGAGACATGCGCGCGTCTTTCTCGGCGGGCGCGCACGCCTTCCTTCGTTTTCGAACTGCCAGATCGCGCTCGTGTCTAACGTGCCTCGATGCGCTCGTTCACCTCCGCTACACGCTCGAAGCACTAACGCAGCGCCTTCAGAATACCATTGACCAACTTTCTTGCACAGAACATCAAATAAACGTTTTTTTCACTCTCTCCAGACGCAAGACTATCGTCTTTCGACGACATATGCAGTGTAACATTCTGATCCGGGCCTAAATTTTTTTCCTATAGGCTTAAAGTTGTGAAAAACCGCGCTCCTCCATACGCTGCCAAGAATTATAAGTTTACCTCTAATATGATTACACTTAAATATTGACTGGGATGGTGACTTTTAAGCAGGAGTATAACAAGATATACCATGGAATATGTCCATCAAGACAATTCTGAGAAAGTGGTCAATCAGAATTGTCAAAGAGATTTAGTCAACAACTCTTTTTTTATTGTGGCATGAGCAACCAGAATATCTTGCCAGAATGAATTCATCAATGCTGAACGGGGATCTTTTGCATGTAGAGCAGCGTGCATGGTCTTCAGTACCAGTATTCTCAACAAGGACTGTCACAAAACATTTTTGTGAGCTTATATTTCAGCCAGTCACGAAGTGGGACATACTATTAGTGATGGTAAATTGCCAATGGGAAAAGGTGCTAACAAAGGAGAAGTTTTGTGGTTGAGAGGCCTATCTTTATGTTAAAATCAATTTGCCTTCTCTCTTGTTCGCTCTTTTTGCATGAAGCTGTGTTCTTTCACCCTTAGAATAATGGCTTCGGTTGTGGGAGTTCTTCAATTTACTAAATAAATAAATAAATATTTATGGTAAGCATAGGTCACCAAAACTCGTGAAACTCACTTCATAAGTGTACCGCGCAGAAAAAAAAAGTGGAAATTACTCCATAAGGGTACTGCGCAAAAAAAAAAAAAAAACTTGTGGAACTCACTCTATAAATGCACTGCGCAAAAAAAATAAACTTGTGGAACTCACTCCATAAATGTACTGCGCAAAAAGCGGACGGAAACACAAAGTAAAGAAAAAGGACAGACAAATGCTTGTCTGTCCTTTTTATCTACTTCGTGTTTCCGCCAGTTGTTTGAGCAGTACACTTACGGATCAGTACCAACTTGCTCAACTAGCGATTCTCTGGAATACCTTGAGCTTTGGACTCACTCGTACTCACAATCACGGAAATTTTCTTCTATATGATTCGCTCGGATTCAAGCTAAATATCACTCATCTTGATACACTCAGACTCATGACACGATCTGATTCTGAATTAGTCAGTGTGAGTCGATTCATGAGTGTGTTCGCCGAGCTGCGCCTATAAGAGTGTATGAAAGCTACAAATATTAAAGCACGTGAACGAGTTGACTTGTTTATTCGGTATCCTGAATGAGTTTAATAGCATCGGCACGGATGTCCTTCCAGAGGTTCATTACGGAAGACTTCTTCTCCACTTCGAGAATACGGTTCTCCATCTTCCGCAGCAAGTCGGGCGTGAAGTAATCCTTCCAGCTTCCCACTTTACCACTTCTTACGAACGCGTACTTGTCCCTATCTGGAGTGTGAGCTTCGCCGCTGGGGATCCTCCTACGGGAAAGCATGTCATTCCACTGCGGGTTGTCTTTGCCGGTCAAGTCAAGGACTACCACCTTGCGCATGTTGTCAGCATGCGATCTCTCTAAGAGCTTCTGGAGTAGCGACTCGTCATCCTCCAGGGCACGGCCGTACTTCTCACCCAAGAAATATGCCAACTTCAATGCCACCTCACGGGTATTATTCTTGAGTTCCTCGTAGGTACAGAAGAGCACGTTTGGTTCTGTTCTAAGAGCGTAGCCAGCGGCTACGTGTTCAAAATAGTCTCCGTAGCCGAAGTTGCCGCTTACGAAGGTGTCGGCGAAATCTTCGAACGTGCCATCTCGGAAATGGTACATGTACAGCGTGCTCGCCATGTGGTAGAAGGACACGCAGAGGTCCCACGGATTGCGTGCCATATATACGTACTTGCCTTCCGCGGTCATCGTGCGTTTGTCCAACGCGAAGTGCGTGACGAACGTCCTCAAAGGCAAACGCGAGGTGAAGTCCTTGATGTTCATGTACTCGATGAAGCGCCATTCCTTGCAAAAATCTTGGTACTTTGTCATCGGTTCTCCTTCTCTGAGGATTAAGTGCGTGATGTACATAAGCCAGTTCGTTCCACTCTTCGGGAACGTTGATTGGACGAGGTCTCCCTCTTTGGCCCTGAAGTCGAGTGTCTCGCTTAGCTTGTCGAGAGTGATACCGGGGCACCTCGCAACTCCATCTATCACTTGGTAGTTTGGACGTTTCCTCTGCATCGTCTTTCTGCAAGCCATAGAACAATGTGATGTAAAAAATTGTAAATGGACGTTCCCCCTGCTTGTGACTGTATCAATTATTTTTTCATAGGATTATTTTCTAAAGCGACAACGAAGTCTATAAAAATTACCTTTATGTGCAATACCTATATGTTAAATAAAGACTGATAAATGAAAGTTATTTAGAATAATAAATTACACCACAAAAACACACGGATGCCACAAGGAGACAATAACGAGCGCTGTATACTAAGGTCAGCTTGTCCCTGTGTTTTGTCCCAACTCTTGTGTTTTAAAAGCGAATGCATTTTTTAGTCGGGGCATGTCGGCGTATGTCGGCGTCCGCATGCCGGCACGTGTTATTTCTCCCCTGTCATCTCCTTCTTCCATAGCAATAGCTGCGGGAGCGCGCTTATTCTCGACGCTAGCAACCGGAGCAGGTGGTGCGGGTAGAGTAGCGGAAAGTGAGGGGAGAGGAGGAGCGTGCTCTGGCTTGTGAGGGCGCTCGTATCGCGCGAGCTTAGTGGAGCTCCTGCGTGTGCGGAGAGAGTGTAGGAGTGGGTAGGTCCAGTGCTTCGCTGCTCCTTCTCTTGTCGTTCCCTCTCACTCTCCTCCCTGCGCCCACTTTCTTGTCCGCTCGCTCGTACCTATATATACAAGGTGTGAAGCGCACGCCTCACTGGTCGACCATTCGCTGTCTGATGAATGTCTGAATAAATGGTGATCAATTCTCGTCTCGTCAATAACTTACGCCATTAAATATACTACGTTGTATACTGTGTGCGGAAGAAATGCGTTCGCATTTTCTCCCGATTCCCTTCGGGAAGGTCGGGGTTATTTTTTTGTCTTTTGCTCTTCAGTATTTTTGCAATAACATATGAAAAGGTAGGCCTCAGCCCTTTTTTAATCTCTCTGGAATGAATTTATTATTTTATAAGAGAATGAACGCCAGAGTGGCTATCGGTTCCACTTCATGCCTTACGTCCTGCGCTCATACTGCAGCATGGTGCCATTCATGTTCGTAGAAAGACCCATGAGAAGAGGGCATGGAGGAAAAGAAAAAAAAACCCATCCGAAGACATTATGAACAACAGTATAAGGCGAACAAGAAGGAGACAGAGTCGATGGCAAAACGGGTTGGAACAGTCTGGAGCGAAGATTGCTAATGTCGCATGGCTGCAATGTCGGCTTCCGGAGCCGAACGCGAGAAGTACGTCAAGCCCATGTCACTTCATCGGCCCATGGTGTACTCGGAGGTACTCGGCTTCAAGGGGTTCCATCCGTGACTCTTCCAGGTCACATACTTGGTGTACGGATCTCAATTCTGGTGCTAAACCACCCATGGAGGGCATAAACTCCTGTGCGGCGCTCTTTGTCGGGAACGAGCTGGTGCGACACCTCGAGTGAAGTTTGAGAGCAGCCATGGCTCTTGTGTGGCCAAGAAGCCTACCGTATGTACCCTCAGGTCCCGAGTTGCTGGCAGGCACGTTATTTCCGTGACTGACCGCGTCAGCATCGCCGCCTCATGAGACGTCAGCCTACCAAGATATGGTCTCCATGAACACCGCTGGTGACTCCCTATAAATGTTAGAGCAGGGCAGTAGAATACAGTCTTTATGTTGCAACTTACGACAGATTTTCTGTGGGTTATTATTCCTTCGTTTTCCTTTTCATTTCTGCCTAAAGTCTCCTGCTTTTCTTGTTTGTTTTTATACCCGCTTCGTCATTTCTTTTCTCTGAGGCTTGGTCTGCAACGCCCCAGTCAGCTATTGCGACAAGTTCAGCGTGATGCCGCTACTTATCTTTGACTATTGCGTCTTTCTTTTCTAAGCAAACTAAAGCTTAATGAAAGAATGAGTGGCTTTCTTTCAGTTTTGTAGAAACGTAACTTGCCACTACAGCTTAAGTTCTTTATCTCATCTATGTCATTTTTACGGTCAGGCTACGAAAAATTTGACCGTTAAGAGGGCCCATTATTTATAAGTGGTCAACGTATGCTGGAAATTAATCAATACATAGAATAAAAGTTAAATATTTTTATTCAGAATTTGGGGCGTACAAAAAGCTTGATATTAAGCTTCATGCAAATCGTGCTTCAAGGGCACGACATCGTTCGCAAAGGGTTTTCATTGCTTCAGGGTGTTCTTGCAGCCTCCATTACCTTTCCCGTCCTCTCGTTGTACGTGGTTGGGCTCTTAGGCACGCCACCATCGCTTCGCAGTCATTTCTTGAACTAACTGTTCCCTAAGTGTGTCGTAATGAGTTACACCCTTGGTGGAGAGAGCTTAAATATGTTATCGAATCATTTTTCGGGCTCGCTTTATCGGCTCAATGCGTGCGTACGAAATCGTCAGAAATATGGGGAGCTTGAACACTGCCTTTAAGAGTTAAACGAGATAGCGATATCCTATCCCTCTAGTGCGTGCTTCAACCACTTAGTGCATACCTCTTAACGTTTGATGTTACTCAAGAAGTTTAAATTTTGGACTACTACATTGTGATCAATAAAGTTGAAAGTGGCTTGCATCAGTGATGCTATCGCATATGGCTTCTTTCTGTGTATTGGGTAGCATGCTTTACACCTCGAGCAATGATGCCGGTAAAATGTTTTCGAACTTCTTATGAATTCACTACGTGGTCTTGAGGAAACAGGAGACATATGCCCCTTTTGTAATGGGTAGCTAGCTTTAAACCAAGAATTCGTTATGATAATCACATGCTCAGACGCCCGTTGGCAAGGTACGCTTGTATCACCCAATATTACTGGGATATTACACATCGTATTCTGAATACTGTACACAGGATGTTGCATTTTAAAACATGCGCGTGTTTTTAAAGCATGGAATACATTTTCGTTGAATTCGAGGCAGATAAGTTATTTTAACTGTATTTGCAAGCAGAGGCGTGGCTGCAAGCAGGTGCGTGACACCTGCTTATCCCGCAAACGTCCTGGTTCCAATTCTCACATGGAGTAGGAAGCATTTTTTATTTTCCTCGTTTCCATATTTTCAATTTTTCGCACATTTTTCGCTCACAACTAAGGATGCCCGCGCTGACGTTGACGCCAGAACTTGTTCGAAAAGAGCTCTTTAATGCTCTCGCCTTAATGCACCGTCAGGGTCCCTCTACTGCCAACTCATGTCTTATGACCGCTAGATACTCAGAGTTGATTTGACAAGCAAGTACATAAGGGTATTTGCAGAGAAAAGTAATCATAAGATTCTACTGAGTCAAAGGCAAAGATCACGCCAAACCTACATACTACTCGAAATGTCACTGAATCGAATATGCATTGCCTATTATTTACAAAAAGTCCGATTAGGGAGTATTTCTTCAATTTCAGTGAAGAATAGCATTTTCAGTTTGATAATAGCCGCATAAATTATTTTCATATGGTTTTATTAACTAAAAACAAAAAAAAGCCCGCGTTAAATTAAGCTTGGGGCATCACCCAAGTTGTTCTGACGTCACAAGAGCAGCTGAGTGGGTGCGTTGGTTTCACATACTTTGAAAAGTAAGGCGCGACCACAACAACGGAGCACCAATGGCGAGAGAAGTAAGGGACTTCGTGTATACAGATTATACCATTTTCTTGCAATTATAAAAAAATGGCAGCCAATCCAGTGAATGCTGATGATGGAGTGAAGCTAGGTTGTAAAGTCCATAATATCAAAGTTGAAGTGGCCAACTAGTTCAAAGGACGCATGGACGAACCAATGGATGGATGGACAGATACATAGACGGAACGATGCCCGCATGAACGCACATATGAACGGACGGATGGATGGACAGACTTACGCACGCACGAACAGATGCACGAGGGGAGACAACGGACATTGTGCGAGAAGCCTAAGGAGCTTCGGTCCTAGAAATTCAGATAGAATACCCACTATTAGTAATTGCACCAGTTGGATCATTTGCATGGTGCAACGAAGTTGCCTATTGCGGTCATAACCCAGCCCGGCAACTTGTGCTTAACTTGCAAGCTAGAAAAGATAAAGGGCTGATGTTGATGCAGACAAGATACAATCACCAGACATATATAGGTTAGTCGACTCACGAAAAAAAAATCGTCGAAGAACTGGGACGTTCTGAAGTGCATATGGCAGATATAACTAAGTCACGACACAAAGTTTATGCCTCCTGTTAAAGTGAAACGCGTGCTATCACTGTGTACTGACAAATACAACGCATCTAGCTCAAGCACAGAGCGCAAGCAAGAAAAAAAATCCTAGCATATCCATGGGGTGAATGATGATGAGTGGGCGGAGCTCCTGAGGGGAAATCATCCGTGAAACCATTACTCTTCAGTGAAAGTTTGCCCACTACATCATCAAGAAAGACGTGAGAAACACTGTGTGTGTATATGTGCGGCAGGGTCCTCGCGCCGTTGCCGTGACGCTTGGGCCTCTCGTTCTCGAACGCTGGGATCTTGGCGGCGGCGTCGCACAGCCAGACGACACGCTTCGGCCTCCCGCTCTCGTACGGCAGGATCTTGGCGGCGGCGTCACACAGCTTGACGGAGTGCTTCTGCCTCGCAGTCTCGCACATCGGGATACTGTCTGCGAGCACGCGCTGCCGCCGCTCTGCGGCCTTATTGATTGGGCAACTCCGAGCACGCGTCAACAGCGAACGGATTTTATTGCAATGCTCCCCGCCATCTAGTAAACAATTGAAGAACTAAACTAGAGGTAGCCACGCCATCTAGTAAACAATGCAAGAACTAAACTAGAGGTGGCTACATACAAACGTCGAGGATGGACAGACCCACGCCCTAAGGAGCTTCACCCCTAAAAATGTTGACCACACTGCGTGATTTCGTGGAAAAAATGGGGACATTTCATTGAGCGGTCACCTGCTATAATGGTCTAGTAGTTCGGATGCCCGACTGCCTACCCAAAGTGCCCGGGATTTAATTCCGGCCGCCGCTGTCACGAAAATGCTTCAGGCGTTTGAACTTACATTTAGGCGCACGTTAGAGAACTTCATGTGGTCAAAATTTCTAGA